CAGCATGAGCATTACACATAGACACGTATCTCACGATCGTCAGTGTGTAATTTGGCTACGAACAGAACTGTTAAGGACTATAAGAATGATGGTGGAATCTGTTTTGTCTCTTAGGAAATATTTCACATAATCATGGTAATTAATTTAGCAGCTGCTAAAAAAAGAAAGTAATCACACATGTGAAAGTGAGATATTAGTTATTGGCACTATACATATAAGGAGTATTTACAGTTGTTATTTTAATTCGCTAGTAATATATTAAAAAAAGATAACATTTATAATAATTTTAAAATCGGGTTATTGTATTCTATACAGTTCGATATGCTTTATTTTAAGATCAAGTGTTTATTGGAAACATATAGTGATTTGCATTATTAATTAATTTTGGGTTATACTATAATGTTTTGAGCATTAATAACATTATATTATGTCATTTGACACCGTAGTCGCTCAGACGGTATAGTTAGGGAGCCTACTACGGTACCGAAGGGGCCGGGTTCGAAACCCGGAGAAGACATGGATGTTTGTAAATGTATAGTGTCAGTGCGGCATGTCGGTACTCTAAATATGCGGCGACCCGATAGTCCTCTCGTGTGGATTGGTGGGAGATCCCCCCCCTCGGGGTGCACTTTCTCAAAATTGGGGGGGGTGGAAAATAGAAGTCCAACCTCTCTTTGGTGTAGGTTCTGGCAACCATTGTTCCATATAATATGGACAAGACAATAACAACAACATTTGATTCTATTATAAGACAGACAAAGCTATTTTATCAACCATATTTTTGACATTTATATCACCGATATATTGAGCAAATATTAGAGAAGGCTATTTTTGATATCTCCTCTTCGTCAGAGCAGGGTTATTTCTTGCGGGCTAGCAACAGAGAAAGTTCGAAAGAATTCTTCACCATAGTTACCATTTTGTCATTTCTCTTCTGGAACAAGTATTGTTGGGCGGCTAAAGATTTTTTCCTTTATTGATAAATTCCGTTCGCAAGTGCTGTCTGACAGGATATTTGCTGTTGAGTTGTTTGAAATATCGGTCCGGGTTAAATTTTTTTGGCCCTGTTATGCAAATTCCAAATATTAAACAAACAGGCTTGGAAGCGTTTTGATGCATAAACCAAAATTGTTTATCCCAGACAGTTTTAAAATCACAAATTGCAATATCTCTTTATATTTTCTTTTAATGTCGAAGGTTTTCTCGTTCACATAGTGAAACGACGCTCAACACTAAAATCTAAAAATAGTGTAAAAAAAAAAAAGCTTAACGTCTTGCTCGGCAGTTTAAAATCAACTGAACCAGACAGCCAGACCGTCGCACTAGCATAACAAAATCAAAGTGTGCAGTGACTTTTGCCACTTTTTTGTGTACATCTATTGTTTTTCTTGCGTCTCTCGTAAACCGTTACTTTTCTTTGACATGTCATCTATTGTATTGACAGCCAATAATATATATGCAATATACTTTAGATTTTGCGGATTGTCCTTAGGTGGCGATGCCCACTCACATACATCCCAACGCTATCGGCGAAAGTGTGTAAAAAACAAGCACGAGCAAGGTCCGGGCATGGTCTAAAAATCGATTTTTTTGTTTTTTGTTTTCAGGTTTAATTTCAACAATTACCTTGTGAAATTCGTTTTGCGTGTGCATGCTCGAAAGCATCGTTTCTGTTGATTACTGGGATTTTTTTGTTTCGCTCGTATTTTCGTGCATATTTTTTCCCTGATTAAAAAAAAAAATATTTAAAATTTTAGGAGTAAAAAATTAAAAAAGAACACAAGTATTAAGCGCAAGAACATTGTTTCAATATTAAACCAAAAACTTAGTATTAATCGAAATATTTTGAACATGGCGAATCGACAACAATATTCGCTGAATGGAATTGGAGCGCAAAGCGCTAGTGATATTATTAGACAAACAAACCAACAAAAAAATAATTCGTGCGAAGATAGAGGCCTTAAAAAGAGATTGTGACAATGTAGCAGGTCCTTCTAACTGAAAAAGAGCTCAACAAATAAAAACGTAAGAAAACTTAGATTCATCTATGCTGACATGGACATTACAGTCATGTGTTGTGCAAATGCAGGAGAAACACATAAAATGAAACTTCTTGGCGATTGGAAAAGCAAAGATGCCTCGATCATTCTGGCGTACGCAAAAGTAAATATCTCCCTGTAGATTATTACAATTAAAAGGGGGCAGGGATGAGTAGAGAGATATTTAAAGACTGCTTCAGGACTAAATGGGTTTCTGAAGTGAAGGATTTTTTTATAAAGTAAAGGGTTACTAGAAAAAGCAGTGCGGTCATTAGACAACGCATCTCCTCATCCAAATGAGACCATTTTAAAAGCAACGAACCGTCTAATGATGGCTAAATTTTTACCACTAAATATTACCAGTTTAATTCAGCCGATAAACCAAGGTGTAATATCATCAGTGAACTTCACAGTTCACTGATGATATTACACAGAGTTATGAGAACTGTAAAGTTCTCATAACTCTTGCGGAGGAAGATGATGATTAAATGAAGTTCTGTAAAAAGTTGACAGATGCCATACACGGAGCCATATACATATACTGTTATTAGATGCCATGTACGCAGTAGCAAAAACTTAGTCGAAAATAAAAACAATAACAATGTTTCGGTTACAGAGAAAGATTCTTCTTAATACAGAAATCAGAGATTCATTTAATTGTGAAGAAGTCAAGGCAATAGCTGAGATTGTACTCCAAAAAATAAAAATTCAAAACTCTTCGAAAACGTCGATTGAGAAAACATCGAGGAATGGTTCGGTGGCGATTCGACTGATCCGGGTTTTTTCAATGCTTGAATGATGCGGATATCGTTTCAAATGTCGAATGAACAGAAGATGCAGAGCGTGATATTGAAAATACGTGCGAAGAAGGTACTGAAAATTACATTAGTCAGTAATGACTTGTAGACTGTACTGACTTCTGTTGGATTTCTTTGACCAAAGGGGATTCGAATAGAATGATAAAAAAATTTCCGCACTAGCGGTCGAGCGGTAAAGTCGCTGAACACTAGTAGTTAGGCCAGAAGTTCGAATCCCAGTGAACGGGCTGGCTGCACAGGCATTTTCATCGTCTTCCCAATGTGTTACGTGTATATGAGCCAGTTTCTCTTAGAAAGTGCTCCACGAAGGCATTTTGTTTTCAGGCAGATAACCTTCGTGTTCTTTGCCATAGTTAAATAAACCAAACCAAAGGTAATACAGCACTTCAAAAAATACGTAGTAAAATTCGACAAACGTTCAAATGTTCTCAAAGACAAAGTTAAATCATTTATCATGTTTAAGAAATAATCACATAAAACATGCATGAAAATTTGTTTGGATTATCCTTGTATTTTATGTATGCGTGACCTGCTTCATCGTGACCCACATAATCGAGAGTAATGTGAGTGCGTGCGCATGTGTTTTACAAAAAAGGGGATTTTTCAAAATTATATTATAGAATGTTTTGCTTCAGATGGAACAAATATACGAAAATGGCGACTATCTTCATATTAAATAATAAAACTATACCTAAATAAAATTCAAAAAGCAAATCCTTTAAAAAAATCTGAAAAATTTCAGATTTTAAATTACGTCCAAAGGGGCGTTTTTTTTAACGTTTTGTGTTTTACCTTTATTTATTAAATATCATGTTCTTTGCACTTAAACCGAAAAATTCAGTTCAACAGCAATGTCGCAAAATAATTTTAAAATGAGCATATTTTTAGAATTTCCAATACACTGTTCCGCGCGCTAAAGATAAAAAGGTTCCCACCCCTCGTAGAGTGTTGCTATTGCTCGCTTTTAAATCGTTGAGTTTGTTAATCAAAAATTCGTTAAAGTTTTACAAAATGTGAAATCAATGATAAAACAAATTCCAAATTTGGGCTTTTAGATGCTCATATTCGCAGTAGGATTACGTTATTGAAAATTGGATGGCTCTAGGTACCATTGCTTTATCGCAATGCGAGAAACATACATACATTTATGCAGATTCTTCATTATTTAATTTCTTCAAATATATAATGCAGGTCGATAGTATTTGGTGGAAACGATTTGAAAAGTGATACAGCCTTTTAAAGTTTTCAACGCTAAATCGCAAAACGAAAACAACAGTTCTTCAGGAACAAAGCCCCTTTGAACTAATAAGTTTCAATAAGTTTATGGTTAAATGGTAAGTCTACTTTAAGAAGTACGCAGTCTAGTTAAAACAATAATTTATTAAATATCAATGAGAAAACAAATCTGATCAAGAGAATATATAAGCATTCAGTGTATAAAAAATAAACCCATAAAATATTCTTTCACTGCTAACCACTTATTTTTAAGACTGGATTTTATTCAATTTGAGGGCATGTTGAACAGTTTCTCTCGTTACTATTTAGCAAATTCAAAAATGGATGTATTCATATCGTAACAAAGCCCGAGGATAAAAGCACCGCCGAGGCTTAAATGCGAATAATTTCAATACGGTATAATTTTTATAAAATTTAGTTTCATATAAAATTATTTTTATAAAATTAGTATTTAGGTTAAATTTCATACTACTAGATCTCAGAGAAAAAATATAAGCCTCACTTTGCAGTAAAATTTCTATATTTAATCCAAAGATGCATGTTATATTAACATAAACCTATCTATTAAACAAGCAGAAGCGTGTTCAGGAAGAGCTGGGCTACTTTGCTTCAGGAAATTTTGGATTATTTAGTGTTAAAACAGCACAATGCTGAAAAAAGTTGCCTTGAAGGCTGAGATGGAGATATCCCACAAGGATATCCACTAGGAAGGTAAATATTTCACAAGAATGAAGATATTTCTCCACCTAGTTATTAATAATCATTGCTCCTCTATTTTATAATATTATCTTAGAAGTTAATTAAACGTCAATAATCGGATCGAAGTCGGGTTATAAGTCAGGAAATAAATGTTTACAGAATAAAAACAAAACAAAAATAGATAAGAAGAATAGAAAATATATCTTACAGTTTTCTTCTGTATGGAAAGTGTAAATATCAGTCTTCTGGCCAGTATTTTCGGAATTCCAGGCATATATTTGTAATTCGTAGTCAGTATCCCCAGTTAAATTTGTCAAAATCTCGCAGACACTTGTCTCATGATTGCTTGTCACATTGAAGACAGACTGGTTTGTAATGCCCTTTGGATTATGAATTAGCACATAATCTGAAGCAAGTCCGTATTCTGGGGCGGACCAGCAAACAACAGCCGACGAAAATGTGATGTTCGATACTGTGACGTTAAGTGGTGCTGAAATTGTGAAAAAGGCTTACTTTTCCATAGTTATAAAAAGAATAAAACACATAACTCAGATTATAACCTTTTAATTAGTTTATAAGTTAATCCTTTTCATACTCAGTTTAAAACAGAATTATATATGGAAGGATAGATTATAATTCTTTAAATAAAATGGGGAATATTTTGGATTGGATAAAAGCATTCCTGACAATATTAATCAATAACAGGAAAAAAGAGGGCAGATCTACTGTTGAGTATTGGCGAATATATCTTTCAAATCAGTTCAAGGTAGTTCAAGTGAAAAATATTCTATAAATTTTATATATATATAAAAAACACACATTTACATAATTTGAATTTTCTATTCTCATGCGCCAGAATATTTTGGTATGTTGTCTCATCACTCTGAAATGTAACTTTCTTTTAAAATTGAAAGTTGATTTTTAACAGAATTTAGTAAAATCATTGCCTTTAGATTTTCCTTAATCTGATTCCTTAAGCAGTGATTAGTATACTACCTCAGTGGTGTCAGATTAAAACATAGGAACGCAGAGCAGTTATTTGCATTAAGAAGAAAAAAAAAGCTAGTTCTATGATGAATTCTTGAGTTATACTACCTCAAATTCTTTTAAAATTAAGATGCATTATACATTTGATTATGTACAAAAAAAATAGATTTCATAAAGTTAGAGATGTTGAGAACCTGTGAAATTTTTATCAACTTCGATTATCCAAGCCTTTCAAATAGACGGGAAGAAAATGTAATAATTGCGTATTTACCCACTACTGAACAACTTAAACCAATTATTACGTGCATTCTACAGAAAGATTAACTAAAACGTTATGAAGAATATTTTCTCCGTTAAACAAATCTTTTAAAGATTAAGTGTGAGAACAGAGTATGCGAACTAGATTAATCAGATGGGAAGTACACAATTTAAGAAAATCATTACTAAAATGCCTGAATTAGTTAAGATAGGTCCATTCCTTTTACCAGTGAATGGTAATGAATAAGACTGGTATTATCAATATGTATATGTCTTGAATAGCCATCTGAAATAACACAGCTTGCTTATCTGTTGTAGCTGTTACACACTTTAACTAGCTTATGCAGCCTAGAAAACTTACTTTGCAAAGAATATGTACTTAATCAGATTTTCTGCATTATATATAAACAAGATTCCATCTAAAATAGCTGCAGCATATTTGTTAACAGTATTTATAATTTATGTTATTTTCTAGGTACCCATCAATGCAGAAGGTGAAAATTCTGAATTTAGAGGTATTGATCGAGATTTCAAATTTCCGCACTGAAAGAATTTTCCTAGAGTTAGAAAGATATTAAGATACCGAGTCTTCTGAATCTAAGATAAACGTTTCTAATGTACATTAAACATTAATATTTCATAAATGACTTTTATATACACTTGGTGATTGATGATACACTTGATGAAATGTTGATTTGTTAGAAAATTAACCTCTGTCAGTTTGATAGACCAGGGATGGGCAAACATTTTCAGCCGCGGGGCAAAAATTAAAAGAAAAAGTTTGGAGGGGCCAAGATAAGTAAGTTTTTCTAAAAATTTAAAAACAATATACAAGTATTACAAGTTATGTGTGTTAATGAGGTGAATGAAATTGCGATTTCATTTTTAAAAGTTCCTTATATTGAGGTTCGAAGTGAGATGTACTGATCCTAAGGAACGAGGCTAAATGCCCATTTGTCAGTCTATTTCTGAAATAATTCTTTCTAATGTTTATAGTTGAAAACACTTGTTCACATATATAAGATGAAGCAAACATAGCACTGATTTTTCTGGGCGTGAGATATTAAATTTGAGTAGCTTACTTTCGATAATGATTTGTAAAACTCAAACTTTGGCATATTTAGAAACAACTGCTTGAGATGATTGTTAGTTTGCAAATCAATTAATTCAAGCTGCAAATATGATCTCACTGCTTCACAATTTAAGTTGAAAGCCATGGTAAAAATATCCAATTCTGTTTGAATGGCACTGAAATCTGCGTTCGAACTCAAAATGAAGTTTTTTTCAAGCCATCTTCATAATTCTTAAGCTTCTCTTCATTTACTGAGGGTATTGAATTTAACCTCGGGAAACGAGACAAGTCGTTCTTAGCTAGATGCCCAGCAAACAAATTAAGTTTTATTAAGTTTTAAGTTAAGATATAGTTTTATTAAGTTTTAAGTTAAGATTAAGTTTTTTTCTAAGAGGTCTAATTCTAATTCACCTGTACTGGATTCCCATATGTCTGCTCGAGGAAGAGATAACGCTTGTTGGCGCCAATCTACAGCTATAACTAACAAAAAACGTTCGCTTTTTAACATTTTACCGATTGAAAGCTGTCTGTGATTGCGATTTCTGTCGATTTATGTTTTGTAGAAAAAAAATAGAGAAATTAAAAAGATCATCAGCCCTTTGAAAAAAAGGAAGAAAAATATTTAAACAAAGTATAAAAGGAGATGGATATATACTTCTTTTAATTTGCATCGGACCTGCAAATTAAAATTTTATCAGCGGGCCGGATAGAAACTTCCGGCGGGCCGTAGTTTGCCCATCCCTGGTCTACACTCTATGTCGTTTTGATATAAACTACCAATAACTTTGGAAACAATCTGCGATTTTTAGATAAAGTTTTTCTCACACTGAACTGTTTTTACTTAAAAATCATCCTTCGGTAATAAAAGAATGTTTTATTATAATAAAAAGCTATATGAATTTCTGTAAAATGAAAAAAAAGTCATACATTTAAATACATTTTCACGTTCACATAAAAGGGCTAGGCAAGTAAGTAAATATCAAACCGAGAAATAAAAAATTGGTTGTGTGAATACATCCAGTGTGCTGACAGAATCTTATTGATTAAAACTTTAATGGAATTCCAAGAACTTTAAAAAAACCGAACGGAACTTTTTATGCATACTTCTAGTTGGAAATTAAAGATATAATTTGTTTTTCAGCTCTTAAGTTAGTAATTCATAAAGATTAATAGAATTTGGACTTTATGAAACGAAATATCTGTTTATTTTTTACCATGGGAATTATTTAATATGTTAAGACATTTTTCAAGAACACTTCACAGGTTACACACTCATAAGACAGTTACTAAATTTCGAAAAATTAGCCTCCAAAAATTTTTACTATCTTCTCTGTAATGGGTGTTAGGTGGTGATGTGGCAAATGTACAATCCACTTATCAACTAAAGGTAATGAAAATGTTTTCGTTTACGGGTGGCATTCGACTTTCGCACATTTTACTTTCACACAATTCGCTATTTCGCACATTTGAAAAAAATCAATCTTTTTAAATTGTCCATGTCGTAAAAATAATCCGCCTTGGTTCAGTCACCCCTAATTTTATTTTTATTTTCTTTCAAGTTTTAGTTTGGGAAAAAATGCCTAATCATACATTCTTATCGAAGGAAGAATCAGTTGCCTCTTAACATAAATTTTCTGAAAACCGATAGGCATGTCTTCTTGGTGGAGATATAAAAGTGAATCCAGTGTTAGTTTATCAAGCAGAAAATTCCAGAACATTGAAAGGGAAAGATTAAAAATTGCTTCCAGTCATTTGGAAATCAAATAAAAAGGCCTGGGTTACTGCATTGATATTTAAAGATTGGTTAACTTTTCATTTCATACCGGCAATTAAGGAATATTGTGAAAATAAAAATTTACAATTTAAAGCCTTATTAATTTTAGATAATGCTCCAGGACAACCAAAATCTCTGCGAAATTGTATACCCGGAAACCAGTGTTGTGTTTCTTACTCCGAAAACTACCTGCCAACCTTGAATCAAACAGTGATAGCTATGTTTAAACGATATTAAACGAGAACAGTAACGAATCAGGCCATCAAGGCAACTGGTAGGGAGTTGGACGCTATATTAAGAGATTTTAGGAGGACTTATAATATACTGAATGCAACAAACAAATATTGGAGACTAGAGGAATAAATAAAAGAGTCAACAATGAAAGATTCCTGGAAACAGTTACGCCCAGAAATGATGAGTGGTTTTTATAAATACTGAAGAAATTCCGAAAACTATCACAAATGAAATAGTTAACCTAATGAATGAATTAAACTTAGACTTCAACAACGAAGATGCTAGAATTCATTGATTCTCACTCAGTATCTTCGTCAAATGACTACTAACTGGGCAACAACAGTCAAATGAAATACACAATGAAAGTGATAAAGAAGTTGATAAAATCTTCAAGCCTTTGACAATCAAAAATACGAATGAAGCCTTCATGCATCTTGACAAGTTTTAGATTATCGTGGAAGAATGTGACCCTGATGGAAATGTCTATCACAAGAACGCAGGGCAACTGGAAAAGACAACATTTTATAGAACTCTTTTATCAAGAAAGGAGAAAAAAAAGGTGGTGTTCAACTAACACATAGCAAGCTTGCATCATGCATGATGCAGTTGACAAATGCTTGATCGACTTTCAGAGCGAAACACGGATCAGAGACTCTGTGAGCGAAACTAGAGTTCAAAGGTTTACCTAGCGACTGTCAAAGTGGAATTTAAGATATTATATGAAGAAGACTTTGAAGAATGGTAGAAAAAAGAAGCTTTAAGTATTCATCATCAAAGCTCAGATAACAAAGCACGGATTAATTTTTAAAATCATAAGAGCCGGAGCCCCAGACAAGGGAGTCAGATTATAAGAATAAAAATAAATAAAATAACGAATAAAAATAATTAATAATTAAAATAGTTACATAATTAAAATTAAATTCAATAAAATTTGAAGAGATAAATAAAAATTAATAAATTATTGAATTAATGATAACTAGTGAAATAACTAATGAAAATACTGGACCTCGTTTTATTTGGAGCTCCGGTTGGAATTACAGACTCACTCAGAAATTAAGAAATAGCTAAGCCGGACTCCGGCCAAATTTAAGCCTTCAATATACAGTATAATGGACCATTCTTTTCTAGCACAACAGTGAATAAACGTAAAACGGCTAAAGCTTCA